TTCTTATTTCCCTTCCATTCTCAGTCATCTTCTTGAAAGTACAGTTTAAACCAAAGCTTCTCAAATTTTAATGCCTGTTAAGTCACCTGAGGTTCTTATTAAAAAGAATTATATTAGTCTGGGGTGAAACCCAAGGTTCTGTCTTTCCATCAAGTCCCCAGTCTATTCTGCTGTCCTAGAAAAATCATTCTAAATAAAAAAGTCAAAACTCTACATCTCATCATGTCTATACTTCTCTCAATTCTCTTTGTGTATTTACTCCTTATCATGTGTTCCATCAAGTTTATGTCAGTTTTACCTAGGAAACCCTTTATTATGTTCCCTATCATAACCTCAATGCTGACATACAAGGACCTGATAAAATCAATGATCAGAGGAAAATAGGAGAAAATATTGACTTTGGTGTAGAAGAAGAAATTTTTAGTAAGAGTAAAATCAGCTAGAAAGGACTTTAGTGGAAGTCTATTTTTTAGATTTTTTTTTCTTTTTTTTAGTTTTTGGTATTAGGGATTGAACCCAGGGGTGCTTAACCACTGAGCAACATTCTCAGCTCTTCTTGCTTAGGGCCTCCCTAAGGTACTGAGGCTGGCCTCACACTTGTAATCCTTTTGCCTCAGCCTCCAAAATTGCTGGAATTGCAGGCATGTGTCACCAGACTGGGCAACTCTATTTTTTTATTTTATCATATTTTTCTAAAATTTATTTTTTAGTACCTTATAATTACACACAATCATAGAGTTTGTACATGCATATATCACAATATGATCAACCTCACTGACAATGCCTTCCCTTTTCCTTCCCTCCTCCTTCCCTAATCTACTTGCTCTCCCTTCTATTATATTTGTACATGGACATCAAAAAATTTGTAGGCTTAATTCCCCAGTACTTTTGCATGCCCTCCTTCCTCCCTCCTTCTCAATGTCCTTCCTCTACTCTATTGGTCTCCCTTTTTTCAATGGAACTTTAAATCCCAAAGTTGCCCAAGTGTGTGTGTGTGTGTGTGTGTGTGTATGTGTGTGTGTGTGTGTGTGTGTGTAATAATAATAATAAACACATTAAGAAAAAATTAATAATTGCCATTCAATAGTCCATTTTACATAACATGAACTACATAGCAATGCTTTGGTCAATGATGGACTTAGTTTTATCATAGCCATCTTAGTTCATTTAAGGACATCTATGATGTCTGCACAAATGCAAAATTGCCTAATGACACATTTCTCAGAATGTGTCTCCATCATTAAGCAAGGCATGGCTATATTACATAGTTTTAAAATTAAAAGAAACATATAGGTTTCCTTCAATTTATATATCTGTATTCCATCAAAGCTGGCAATAAAATAGGTTTCTGAGATAACTAAATTATAAATTTGGACATAGTTTTCTAGAGGAGAATGGAAAAAGTTTAATGACTGAAAATAAATAACTTTAGATAGTGGTCAAATTTAAGTGTTAGGTTTTATGTAGATAGAAGGGACTTCTCAATCTCTCATAGTAATTTAATTTCTTTCAACAAATTACAAGGTTCTTGTAAGTACCAGAGGGAATTAAAAAATGAATGAGAAACAGACTCTCAAAAAGCAGTAGGGATTATAAGATAATACTAAAAATGTGTTAAGAGCTGTAAGACTGTGTGTATAGAGAGTGACAATAGAACACAACAGAACAGGGATCAGGAAGAAAGGGCTCAATATCTTTTGATGCTTCTTAAAGGATTTCTAGAGGATTGCTTGCATACATGAACTGCAGAAAGAGAAGTTTCTGCAGAGCGGTTTTGAAAGCTTAGGGTGCATAAAATCATGTGTGGGGTGGGGTGGCTGGAGTCAATAGTGTTCTCTATAAATTATTGCTACAATCACGATGTTTAGGAAAACACTCTAAAATGTAGTGACTTACAATAAGGACTTTATCTCTTTGTGCATGATTATGCAAATTACCTAGGGAGTCCTGCTGATCTGAGCAGGGCTCAGTTGAACTTGGTTGAGATGATTTGTGCATCTGGACTCTTCAGCAAAACACTGGCAGGTGGAGGTTGGTAACCTCATTCTTGCTCCATGTGGTCTCAAAGCCTTCATTAGACCACCCTGGGGTTTTTCTCATGGCAGACCCATGCTCAAAACTGGCACATGGTTATTGTTCCTGAATCGTACTGGCTACAGCAAGTCCTAAGTCAGCCATTAGATTATTAGATGGTAGGGAAATAAACTCTACTTCTTTATAGGTCAGGCTGCCAAGTCAGATTTCAAGGGGCATGGATATGTGGGGAAAAATAAAGTCATTTTTGCAAAGTATCTTCATTTTGATTAAAATACTGAATAGATGGAAGTGTGAGGTGACATGGACTGGAGTTGACCTGACCTTTATTTTAAATTCAAGTAGTAGTGAGGAAACAACTGAACGCTTCGAGGAGGGAAGAAACAGCATGTTGGGAAGCCTGGCTTGGGAAAGAATAAGCTTGCAAAGTTATGAGGAGAGCAGAGAGAGGCAGAAAATATTCGTATCTTCTCTGAATTTTTAGGTAGAAATTAAGGAAGGTTTGAATCAATGTGGTGGCAATGGGAACAGAATCAAGAGTAAAGGAAACTTCTTTAAAGTAATTAACTGATAAGGCCACAATGGCATCAAGGTGTGAAGGGCACATAGTATCTGCTGTATACTTTTTCTCTTTGACCCTTTATGCCAGTCTCAGATGTTCAACACTTGCCCTCTGAATCCACATCCAAATTTCTCAAGACATATTGTGTATCGTCACATGATATTACATCATTTAGTAATTGGCAGGATACAGTATCCTAGAGCAAATATGTGGGACTCAGACCCTTTAACTGGGTGTACGATTGTAATAGGGCTAAGCTTTCTATCCCATTCCAAACCGGAAGTTTTTCAAAGATTGAGGCTTTAGTTTGCTAATTTTTTTTTCAGTGGCTCTTTATCTTCATAGATGTCAAATATAAATTTTGTAAAATGTGTATTTAAAATGAGATAAAATTGCACAAACTTTATTTCCAATTTTATTTAAAACAAATAATGTTGTGATCCATATGAAGAAATTTGCATAGAAGCCACATCAATTTTATTGCAATAAAAGCTGAAAGACAAAATTCTAATACTAATTATCTTACTCTGAAATAATTAAATGCAAAGGATATACATGTGAAGATGCTATAAACATGTAGGCATTACACAACACACATAATGGCGTCATAAAACATTTTATACTGCTTTATTATAAATAATTGGAAACAATATTTCATTTTCAAACCCAGACAACAGTAAATATCATGCTTTCTTTTTTTTTCATTATTTCATTTTATTTTTGTAATATCAATTGGGAAAATAGTATTCTTTATCCAAAGATTGGTTTAAAAAAATTTTGGGGAACACAAACAACAAAATGCTCATTTTATTTCACTTAAAATGAAGACAATAAAGAAAGTTTTGAGAGGGAGAGGCTTTAGGATATTATCAAGAAGACACTGATAATAGAAAAACTGTGAAATACCTGCAAATGTCACTTGTAAGGCAAAAATCGGTTGTTTGTATACAGATGCATAAATATAAAAAAAAGATTTGATTGTAAACTTTTAAATTTTTTTCTTAAAAATGCAAATAGCTTTATTCTCCCAAATGGAGAAAAGCCACTAAGGCATAATGGATCAAGTCTGAAATTTTGGTATGGTTATCTTCTAGAAAACCTATTAATTTTCCAAGGAAGGAGGTCCAATATCTATGTATTCATTCAATGTACTCATTTCACAATAGCTCATGTCTTGCAAATTTCGATTAAGAAAACAAATACTGTAACCTTCAACACTTACAGGCAGAGAGCATTTCTTGAAAAAATACTTTAGTGACTTAAAGTTGCCACAGAAATCTGCCCTAAAATTCATTTACAATAGATTATCCCATAGGAATATTTTCTTAAAGATATTTCTAGCACCTAGCAGTCATAATTTTCTATTAGGTGATTATAATTTTATTTTCTGTGTTTCCCTTACATGTGATATAGAGAGTTTTTGCCAATTTTCTCCATTAATATTAATAGTTTAAAACTGTCTAAAGAAATAGAACCTAAAGGGAAAAAAAGAGGAGTAATATATTTAATTAAGTAAAAATATATTTCTTTGAACACTTGTATTTATATGCATCAATTAAGGACAGTGTTGCATATTCCAGATTAAACAGGTATTAAGTTTAACATGGATATAAACATGCTATGTACAATGATATTAATAATTTTTTTTTTAATTTTGTAGATTTCAAAGTGTACCTTTAATAGAAACTGGAACAGGGTGAATTTAGTAAGCAAAAAAATTAAATTAGCTGGAAATAACAGGTTGACAATTAAAGATCTAAAAACACTTATAAAATAATTAAGTCACAGCCATGTATACACATGTAAGAAGATACTGTAAAATGAACTGCTCCAGTTTACTTGGTTTTATTTCAACTTAATACACTCCAAGTACTGCTTTCCCATATAATAGCAAAGGAAATATTAAATGCATGTTTGTTATTTTAAGAACAAGGTGATACATTTCACATTCTTTAAATTTTACTCATGTTATAAATATATTCATCAGTCCATCTATTTTTTAAGGTAAATGAAAACTGTAGCACATATGTTATGTCCATATTTTATTTTCTCTTTTGAAAACTGTATTTTAAAATATCAGAGTAATGAATAGTGTTTCTACCTTACACTGTTATCTTCCATGCACTACAATTTATATGGCTTACAAAAATGGAATTTATAATTGAAGACAGGTTAACTCAGATCAACTAGTAAGTATGATATTGGAACTGTTATTCTGAAATCCATTAACATTAAACTCAGAGGACAATGCTGCTCCTTTTGAACTGTATCAAAATTATGCAACAGTATAAACTTACTTATTTGTAGGTTTGCATAGAGATAATACCATTTTACAGATGTAATATTTATTTCCCAAAGGATTTTGGCAGGCCTTTTTCTATCTTCATGCATGTTCATTTTATTCATTTGCTCATGCTCTCTCTCTCTCTCTCTCTCTCTCTCTCTCTCTCTCTCTCTCTCTCTCTCTCTCTCCTCTTTTTCTTCTTCTTCTCCTTCTTCATGGTTTCACATGAAATAAGCCATATTTATCATCGGGTTATCATAGTTTCAAACTAAGATCCAGTAGTAGTTTGAAGCACAGCAAGCTGAGCAGTTCTTCTTCCCTTTTTAAAGCATGTCAGTGAGTAACATTCTCTAGAGTCAAGCCACACAAACACAGTGACCCAAGTAGAGAGTTCTGTGAACTCAAAAGGCTCCAAAATCCACAGTCAAGAACCTTGATGACATCACCTAACTACCATCTGCTGCTGGAAGGGAGACAATATTGTTCATTTCAGAAACAGTCTCTTATCTGGTAGTTTCCCCAGATTTCTTTGTTGTTTTTATAATTACTTCTGGTATTATGCTTTCAAAAGTCCAAAGGTCGAATCATCATGGTTGTGGAACGTAAAGAGTAGCTGGGCCCTTTGAAGTAGTGCCACTTGATTCCATTCAGTTTTCCATGATTCTGTCCCGCGGTATAGAACATTCCATTTAGATTGGAGGGGCCACAAGCATCAAACCACCAGCCTGAAAAAGCAGTTAATAATGGAAGAGATAAAGAGAAGCAACAATTACAAATCGAACATTTGGAAATTACTGGCATTAACTGGTGGAGAACTTATTGATATGTCATGATTATTTGAAAATAGGAGGCATTCAGGGTCTTTCATCTTGGCAGTGGATTGTTTCCGACGACATTGGTTAAAGATGTATATGAACAATCTAAGAGAAGGATGCTCTTCTGAAAACCAGCTTTCAGTGTGATCCCTGCCCCCCTCCTTGGGAGTCACTTCCCACAGTAATTGTGGGAAGTTTGAAGATATAGTCTAAGTCAGACCTGGAAGGAAATGTGGAGTAAAAGGCATAGGCATTCCACCTCAAGCCTTCATTAAGAATACAACAATTATTAGTGAAACAAAAGATGTTCTCCATTGACTTCTGATTTTGTCAAGAACTAGCCCTCAGCTGCTTCTAAGATTAAAACTGGATACTGTAAAATGCCTATGATGCTTAAATTGAATTTCAATTCATCCATTCTCTCAATAGTTTATAGCAACTGGGAAGTTCATCCATAGTATTCAGACAGTGCATGTATAGCAATATTTTGTCTATGATTGTTCAAGCTCTTCCTAAACTTAGCAAAAAGAAAAACAAACTTGATGGGTAGTATGGAAATCCTGTGCTTGCATAACTCTATAAGGATAACTGGATAACCCAGGTTTATGTTTTTAATGAAGTAAGGTCTAAGATGTTTAGATAAAGCATAGTACTTTTCTGTCTCCTGAAGCAACACTACTGAAATCTTTAGGGAGAGACTTATGCCAGAGACATTCTGGCATATTTGTATTCGGATACAGTTGACCTCTCTTTGATTACAGAGTTGTACCTAAGGGACTAATAGCTAAAGAAAGAGAAAACTGTACAGCTGATGTTGGACTGTAACATGAGCATCGTCTTGCAGAAACTTTAGAAAAGTTAAGTGAAGAAAAGCTAGCTCTCATTTTTCAATTTCGGAAGATGAATACAGCTGGGTTGTGTTTATAAAGTCACACTAGAGGCATAACAAGCTACAGTAATCACCGATTCATCCTGGAGCTAGCAGTCAAGTATGTCTCAATGGATTTTGAGAGACACTCTATGCAATGCTTTGTGCAAACATAAATGTTAATGCTGTCAAAACACAAGGGACAAGAAGGTACTTGTTGGGCAAAAAAGGAAGAACTATAAAATCCTATCATTACTTCCTTAAGACTACCTCCTTAATTTTGATCAGTGCTCATATTAAAAATATGCTATTTGTAGTACAACAGACATTCTAATATTAGAGAATTTATTTAAACAGACGACTCTAAAGCACTAAAGTGAAACTCCAAAATAAAATCCAACTTATTGCTTCCGTGTTTTAATTTACCTACTCCTTTTCTGTGTCTTTCTTGAAACATTTTTTCATTGTATCAATGAATCTTTCCTAGTCTTTCAAATACCCATCATGATTTCATAAAGTACATAATTTCATGCACTTACTTTATTAATGAGAATAATGAAGATTCAAAGAATGCTGTATTGTGTTGAGTCACATTAAAATATCCATGCTGAAAATGTGTGTCTCAGTTATTTGTTTTATACAAAGTTACAGGACTTCTAGAAAAGTGTGGATAGACGACAGCAAAAAAATAAAGAGCACAGGCTAAAGGATTATTCATAGGAAAGCTTTGGATGAGCTTACGAAAGAGACAGGAAACTATAGGGACCTATGAGAAAATCAGATAAATTAATTTTGTGTTTCTTTTCTGAGCAAAATGCATGCAATAATGAATTTGTGGTGAGAATGACATTTTGGAGACACCAAAAGAAGGCCATTATGGCTGGGTTACAGTCAACAAGACAGTTGTTTGACAATAAGCGGGGCTTGAAGACCAAATTAACCCAGTCTTGTTCATCATCATAAAAGCAACGGAAAACCCTGGTTTATACACTGGTCCATGTTACATTTTTCATGCTACACCTAATTGAGTTTGCTTAGCACAGGACTGGCATGTAACTTCAGGGTTGTTGAGTGATTGACCAACCGATTCAACTTGGGGAATTGTTTAGTTTACTAAAAAGCTATATTTAATAGACACCCCAATATATAACATCTGTGCTTATTGTATTCATCTTTTCTTTCTTTATTCATTCAAGTGTTACACAATACTCAACAGGACAGACATGGTCCCTACCCTCAAGGAAATTACTTCCAACACGTGAAGCAGATGAAATAAATCTAAGTAAATAAATGAACTACAAATCATGACCAAAGAATGCCATGGAGAAAACAGGGAGCTGTGAAGGAGGAGAAGATAATGTTTCACCTTCATGGGAGACCTGAAGGAAGAGAGGGAGGCAGCCATTTGAAGTCAGGGAAAGACTTTTCTAAGCAGAGTACAGCACATTTGAAAGACAACTTGGTGTGGTTAGAGACTAAAAGAGCATCACTATAACTGCTACATAGGGAACAGAGGAGACTTTCAGAAAATGAGGTGGAGAAATAGTCTTGATGGAAAGCTGAACAATGTTTGTGGAAAAAATTATAGTTTAGCCAGCCTGCTTGTCTATCATCAGCTGAACAAGTAAAACATTCGCTAGGAATGGGAACCCATATTTAAACAGGGGAACCAAATCTGCCAGGCTAAATGTTTAATCAAGCAGCATATAAAGTCTTCATTCTATATGGTCTGTCAAAGCTGTCCTGAGCGCATGTGTCAGTGTGATGAAGGGGAGAAAACTGAACCCAGAAGCAATTCAACACAGACTAACCATCCATTGGACAAGGGGACAGGGGGAAGTATGTTCCTGACTTCAAGGTATGCACCGTTTTTGTAGAAGACTAATTGTTTAAATAAATCAGATGATAGTTACTAAACAAAGAGATAAAGAACATGTTATGGAAATAAAGGGGCAGATGGTCCCGACTGCCTTTGGGACTGTGAGATTCATTCATTTACCACCTGAGCTGGGTCTCGAGGGATGGTATGATTTCAGTAGACCAAAAGAATTTCCAAGTACTCTATGTACCCTAGAAAAGCAGAACAGATTGTCAGCCAGCAGCTTAGTTTGGCCGGAGTGCCAATGGGTAAGGGGTCGGGAAAAAATAAACAGAAGGGAAAACATTATACTTTTTCTAAATTTTCTTGTGAAGAATGGAGGACCCAGAGAGATGAGAAATTTGAAGACCTTAGCTTCGATGATGCAGACTTCATCAATTAACAAGCTGTTAATCAGTTAACCTGAGACCCTAGGAAATGATTTCAACAACATGTGGTGTTTATTGAATGGTTTATATGTTTTAGGGACTGCATGGAGATATTTGCATGCATTCTCTCATTTTATAAACAGTTTTCTGCAAATGGCAAGTATATAATAACCACACCAAAGCTCAGAGTTTAAAGAACTTTCCAAAGTCCCATTCATAATATATGGATTCTAATGTCCAACCATTTTCACAGCTCAGTTAGGATCAAATAAAATGTCTGTCGTACTATGATATCCAGTAAAACTCTATCTGGTGTCACTTAGGAAACAGAGTAGGGAGTTTTGGGGCAAGAACAAAAAGGACAAGATTATTTGGCTCCACCATAATGATGGAATAATGATGACAAGGTCATCGGTGCTAACAAATTTTATTTGTTCGGTACAGTCTGTTAGAAAAATATGGAAACAATCTGTTGCAAATGAGCACAATTTACAGTGTTCACATTATAAAAACACTGCATTTAAAAACCTGACCAAGATTTTCTCCCAATGTTCTGTTTTGAATATATGAGCAATCAAAATTATTGATCTTGAAGTATTCAACTATCTCTTAAGACCAGTGGGTCATACCCACTGTGATGTATCAGAGAGCATTGATGATAATAAAGATGCCAAATTGAGATGACAGAAAATGAAATCAAAGGGCAAGTATTTCTCATGACCATTTCAGTTCCATTATAAAATATTATAAACTACAAGTTAGCAAAAGCAGGTTACTTCTGTGCAGGTAAGTAGTCTGTGTTTTTTTTTTTTTTCTTCTCCTTGACATGCATTTTTTAAAAAAAAAAAAAAACTACAGAAACAAATATTTTTTGTAAAAAAATATTGCAAATAGTTTTTCTACTTTCTACCTTTCTATGAAAAAATTAAGGATAGCAAGGTCTATTAAATATGAATCCTGGTAAGATGTGGTTAAAATATATTTATATAAGGCAAGGAAAAGTATAGCATTATCCTGGTAACTTCTTGGTATTCACAGGTCCTTAGTATATAGGTTAAGTTTTCATGAGATGAAGATATTCTGTTTGAACAGACTGAGGAACATGGCTGTATTTGCAATTCCCCTCTGACCAGATAGCAGATAGCTGAATTTATATGTGCTGTGCAATCTTGGAAAAATATTCACTTAGTACTTTGTTCTTTGTGTGCCTTGGAGTAACTAATAAGAAATATGCTAAAGAAGTTTCTAGGAAAGACACTTTCATTTCAAAAGAACTTAATGATGCAAGGATGGGATGGAAGAAAGAGCTTCCCTCTGCCTGCGGTTGGGACAACTGATAACATGTCTCAAATGTTTTCAGGTTGGCAAGGGCTGAGATGTACTTTTGCCAAGCATTTTTGTCTATAACCTGTAACCTCATGTATATTTTAATAAGAAATCTGAGATGAATGTTTCTAATTCATTTACACTTAACTCATTAAAATTTAGTTTTGTAAAAACTATCCCAGCCTTCTCAGGCCTTTAAAAAAATCACTTGAGTCTTTTATCTTTGAAGTAGAAAATTCACATTTTATCACTAATAAATGAAACTCTGCCCAGAAAATAGGAATTTGATTCTAAACATTGTACTCAGGAAGTTCAAACTTATTTGAAAGTCAGGAAACCTAACTCTCAAAGTCTTCTGATCCTAAACAAAAGGTCTCTCAACACTTCTTTTCTAAGGTAAAGAGTACAGCGATGTGAAAAGATATATCTTTTTCTTTCTTTCATTTATTTTCAGTGTTCTAATCAGCAA